GCCCACAGTCTGGCTCAGAAATTCTTCTGCCAGCGGAATGGAGAAAGCCAACATATTGTCCATGCAATGGGTCATTGCCACATAGACTCAGGTCTGGATTTTTATTTGTTTTTTTGAAGTAGAGCTGAGCATCAAACCACAGGGCATTTTTGGTTCTCTGAATCTGCAGCTGAGATAGAAAAAAAGGCCAAAAACTGGCATTGAAAATCTGGTTAGAATTGTTGTCTTACTGTTCAAATCTTGCTGATGTAAGTCTTACTTAGGGCAGTTTTTCCCTTTTCTGTATTTTTGTAAAATAAATAAATAAATAAATAAACAGACAAACAACAATAACAACAACAAAACATTTTGTTGAAAAATATGTGTTAATAATCAATGGTTTGGTATCTTTACCAAAATGTAGTTATGCCCACACTCATTGTAGTGAAACTCTAATAAGAAGTGCACACTTTTGTTAAATTGGTGCGTATTTATCCATGTATTTATCCATAGCCTGGCTGTGGCCTTATGAAGAGACCATTCGCAAATGTGGTCGAAGTTGGGTGACTGTGATCCGTTTAATGGAGAAGAACCCAGAGTTTGTCTTTACTTGCTCTCAGGTAATTCTGACCTAATGTAGGTTAGCAAGAGCAGTCTTTGGAAACAACAATGTTTTACCTCATATTGCTATTTATTGCATCTGTTGGGATATAATTTGTCTGAACAACTGAGCTGATGCAGTTCTATTGAGCAGAACAACTTAGGTTATTCAAACTGTTCGTCTATATTTGGAGTGATCTCTGAAGGGGTCGATACTGACACGTTCAAATGCTTTCTGGATGAGGTCCCCATTTTTTTAAGGCACACCTCAAACACATTGCTTCCTTTTGTGACAACATGGGGAACTGTAAAGAAATCAGCCAAGACATCAGGAGGAGGATTGCGGACAAGTCTGGTTCATTCTTGGGTACAATTTCCAGATGCCTGAAGGTTCCACGTTCATGTGTTCAAACAATTATTGGCAAGTATGAACACCATGGGAATCTCCAGCCATCATACCGCTCAGGAAGGAAACGGGTTCTGTGTCCCAGAGATGAAATGTTTTGGTTGAAATGTGCGTATCAACCCCAGAACAAAAGCAAAAGACCTTGTAAAGATGTTGGCTGAAGCTGGTAAGAGAGTGTCATTATCCACAGTGAAACCAGTCCTGTACCGACATGGGCTGAAAGGCTGCTCAGAGAGGAAGAAGACATCACTCCAAAAGCAACACAAAAAAGCCAGATTACAGTGTGCAAATGCACACATGGACAAAGACTTGAATTTTTGGGGACATGTCCTGTGGTCTGATGAAACTAAAATTGAACTGTTTGACCATAATGACCATCATTATATTTGGAGGAAAAAGGAGGAAGCTTGTAGCCTGAGAACACCATCCCAACTGTGAAGTACGGGGGTGGCAGCATCATGTTGTGGGGGTGTTTTGCTGCAGGAGGAACTGGTGCACTTCACAAAATAGATGGCATCATGAGGAAAGAACATTGTGTGGAAATATTGAAGCAGCATCTCAAGACATCAGCCAGGAAGTCAAAGCTTGGGCTCAAATGGGTCTTCAAATGGACAATGACCATAAGCATGGCGCCAGATTAGTGACAAAGTGACTTCAGGACAACAAAGTCAGAGTTTTGGAGTGACCATCTCAAAGCCCTGTCCTCAATCCTGTAGGTAATTTGTGGGCCGAACTGAAAAGATGTGTGGAGCAAGGAGACCAAGAAACCTGACTCAGTTCCATCAGTTCTATCAGGAGGAATGGACCAAAACTCCAGCAAACTATTGTGAGAAGCTTGTGTGTGTGCTCCTAGTGGACAGATGATCAAAACAAACAAAGAGACACATATGACCTCGTGTTAAACTTGTACTTTGAAACATAAACAAGCAAAATAACAGATTTCAGAACG